GTAGACTGCTAATTTTTCATTCCATTCAAACATTCTCACAGGTGAAATTTATTTACCTAAACAGCTATCTCTTAAGAATTTCCAATTACCATCAAGCTTTACTCATTCACCTGCCCCTTATTCTACACTTCTACAACAAACTTTTCTGATGATCACACTATAATCTGTCTGATGTCAACCACAACCAATGACCACACATTTTGCTCTAATTTTAGATAATAATGCTATCGAAATGTATAATTAACTAGTAAATTCAGTAATCGTATATTGCATATTCAGCTTGTGTAGTAGTATAAATAAATGATAACAATTAAGACTCATTATAAGTAAATTTAATCTTAAAAAAAAAAATGGAAATTGTTTTTCTGTCAAGTCCTAATATTATATTTAAATTGAAAATTTTGAAATAGTAAAATTAATAATTTTCAATAAAATTACAAATTGACAAAGTAAATTATATCAATTATATCAATTATTTTCATTATATAATTTACATTTTTAGCAGAAAGGAATTGTTTTTGATATTTTTTTTTGTACAAATGTAGCTGTATCATGATATGCAGATCTTCTTCTGTTACCACATCATCAGGATCATCTGAATCATCATTATCCAAAAGAAGATTTTGTAGCCATAAGCGGTCATCACCAACATTTGATAAATTGTAATAACGAGAACGATCAGCAGCAAGTTCTAAGATGAACAAAGTAAAAATTATTTAACTAATACAAATCTATAGTTAATATTATTATGTTCTATAATTGATTTTTGTTCTACAAAATGAAAATATATTAGTTTATTATTTATTTCCTTTGCGATTCAATGGAGAGTAATTCTCCTATCTCCATATTTTCCGAGAATGAAGCATAATGGATTTATCCACTACTAATATTATATTGACATTTAAAAGTTTTTAAATGAAGAACAAACAGAGAAATTACCTTCTGATGTTTCAAGATCACTAAAATCACCATCTAAATCAGTATCACTTGAATCCTCACTGAAAATATAATAAGTTATTACTAGGTATAAATATAATACATTTAAATTTCATTAATTTATAGTTAAACATTATACCAGCTACACAATAAATTAAATTTATAATTAGCTCTGCCTAAGTTAGTTACAACAATACAATACAATACATACTACATCTATAAAGTACAAAACTTAACTATAAAAATTTATTATGATTAAAAATTACCCAAGAGGTGTTTTGAAAATGTTTTCCACATAGTCTAAATAGGGATCAATATTTATAGCTTGTATAATTTGTTGGTAATGTAGCGGTAAAGCTATTTCGTTGTTATTCATTTCACCATTCATTATTAAAATCTATACTTAACAAATCATTTAAATTTGTTCATTAAAACTACAAACAACCATATTCGACTTTCGGTCAAATTATTAAAAATTTATATTTCAATGAAATCAAAAACCAAAATTTAAATAAAAATCTAATATTATAATATAATTTCAATATGAAGTGTAATATGTAAATATCTTGT